CTATACAAACGCAGAGAACATAGGTATATATGTAACGCACAGCGAGCGCGCGAGTCGGATTCGATTAAATTAGCGGCTAATTAATTATAACGTCATAAACAGCTTGTCGGGCGTGATTTCGAATATCCTGCACGGCGGCTCTCGAGATATCACTGTATATATACGCACAGCAGCAGCTGCGCTGAATGCCCAGCCCAACGTAAACGAGAGCTAATTTTCGCTAATATTTATCTTCTCCCTTTTCGTCGCGAAAAATTAAAAATAAAAAGCTATACCGACTCTCCCTTTTTTTTTTTTATTGCTCGCTCGAAAGGGAAAAATCGATACTCGATCGCTAGACTTCAATAACGTCAATCTGCCCTATAGGAAAAATAGAAAAGCAGTCCCCGCGTGCTCTTTCGTGCGTATTCGAAAACAGCTCAATCGCCAACTCATCCGTGACATTATCAACGCAGCCGTCGCATTACCGATAATTACTCGGAAAGGTCTCTTCTCAACGGGCGCACATGTGTTTTAGGTTAGGTGCGCACGCACGTGTACGTATGCATATTAATAAAGCATAGCCCCTATCGGAAAAGAGAGCACAGGCGTCGCTCGAACAAGATGTTAACGTCTCCCTCTGGAGGTTCCCGTTCTCTTCTTTTTTTTTTTTTTTTTTTTTTTTTTTCTTTTTGCTTGTCTCTTTTTTTTCACTTGTTCTTATTTTCAACCGTCTGGTGCTGCCGCTGTGCCCCGTATACGTACACGCAGCAGTTGGCAACCTGTTTTTCCACCCATGTAGAAAAGGAGATGGAATATAATGTATGAGCGCGCGCGAGAGATGCTATTGCTCGTCGCCATACGGCGCAAAAGAGATGAGTACGAGGGAAAAGAAACGGTGGCGTGCGTTGAAAATTTTCAAGATCCCCGTTGTCGATAACGGCTTACTAATGTCGCCGTTGGACCGTATACGGAGGCTTGTAATCTCGTGTACTTGTATTATGAGGCCTTTGTGCTCGAGCTTAGCCCTAAGGGCGTTTAGAAAACGATGTTTGGAATAATATAATTATTGGGATGTCATCCTGTGACATTTTCCTGTATCCGTTTCGTGAACGAATCGAAAGATTTTTGGAAAACGGTAAAGACTCGTTAGAGATATACTATACATATATTGTATGCCTTTTGTTAGGAAAAAACAACCGTTACACTTTTGTCGTCAGAGAGAAATAGAAACAGAAATTTTATAGTTTTGGCGATTCCCACAATTTACATTTCCAAGCGGAATGAGTTAGTACAAATCAAAATTAAGTTGATAGCTTTGGCCTCAATTTCGAGTTCTCGAGTTCTCAAATGGTAATCACTTTCAGACTGAGATGAAGTATAACTCAATTGAATATAAGTAGAAGGTAAAAAGTATAATTTTAAGCCTTCCGATCCTTTGAAAGAACCGAATAGTTAGGAACGGAAATGAACGGCGTCAGGACCTAACCTTAGACCCGTGCTACACTCATGAAAATCAGAGAATCATCATTATTGTTCAGTTTTACCGTTTTTCAACAGCCAATTGCGGTTTAATAATTGCATTCAAGCTTATTATTACCAAAAAAAGGTTAGGTTACACACATTCGAGACGAGCGTGTTTGACCAACCCGTACACGTGCTATATAATTTTTCGCGATCCTTTCGTTCCACTCGGAGTATGTAGATGTACATCGGCGACTTTATGCCCGTACACCTTGCATGTTGTTTCTAGTGTGTGGATGTGATTTCCGGTACGCGCCGACATATCGCACGATTCATTTGCCCAACGCTGTATCGCTTACACTTTTTCTTCTTCCTTTTTTCAAGGTTAGACATTCGCATGTTCGATTCTAGCAAAGTAACGTTCCGTTTGCGTTTTTTCAATAATCTTCTCGTTCCATGATAAACTGACGGTTTACGAGCCAATAATAATTATCTTAATTTATAACTAATACCCAAAGCAGCGCATTATTCGCTTACTTTTTAAATCTCGAATCCGACAACTATCAATGTAAATGGCATTCGAATTCATAGTACGGCTAGTGACACACGCGCGTGCATAAACCCTCGTAGCATATCGCAATCCTGTACTTATATCTTTTTTTGTTTTTACTACCAATGCCAGCATACACATACATATGTAATTAGTTTTGTTTTTATTTCGTTTGCATATCACCGAAAGATAGTGCGTGCACACGTACATACAATGATTATGATAAGTCATAATGAGCGAACGGCGAATCGCGATTATCTGCAGATAAACGCACGCCGATACTGCATTAACGTCACTCAAGCTGTAATTGTTCGGAGATCTAGTTTTAAATGGTCGATAAAGTATCGATTTATGAACAAGTACCTATTAATGCTTCATTATCAACTGACCGGCGCAACGTTAACTTTAATATTACGTGCATTTTTTTATTGTTTTAATCGTAATCGATTAAATATTAATTGAAAAATATGTATTCTTTCCATACGAAAACCCGATTCATTCCGATCATTGTAATAAATCTGGCCTAAGAGAAATATACCAGGAACCAGCTCCTCGTACCAGATCTACAGTCAGAATCTAACTTACGTAACTTGCTCATACAAACAAACTATCAATGAAATTGTTTTTATAAACTACAAAGCGGTTATTCCAAAGTGAAACAAACATGCAATAATACAAGTACAAAAAAAGTTGAGCACAAAAAAGTAGTGCGAAGATAAGAGAACAGTTTAGGTATAAACAATATTATGTTATAAACATAGAATGTTATGAGCGACTATATAGTCTTTCCACTACCATCGATCTACGTTTCGATTCTGACGATATTTATTGATTCTCATTAGACAGACTAACGATACTAATACTAACAAAAATAAAAAGTAATATGGAAATAGTAAAACTGTTACTTAAAACCTGGAACGTTATCTAACCTATACGTCAGGGCTTCTGTGAGATTTTTCATTTTATAAAAAGTGAAAGTCTGTCCACCTGTATTTGATAGGAAAAATTGTATCAATCAAACGAGATGTCACATGACGAGTCGAATTCTGTCGCTAAGAGAGACTCGATAAAAAACCATATAATGCAAGCTGATGTAGACAGGTTCTGTAACCGGTGTGAGACAAATAAGCTTACTTGTAATAAGTAGAAGTGTTGTACAATAACATTTACGAGGTCTCGCCAGCCTATTATGTACAATTACACCATGGAAGGTAATAATAATATTGTTGATAGAGTCACTGATGTTTGACGACCTAGGTGTTATTTTTGAATCTTCCTTTACATTAAACCAAGAATATTCAGAATATTCTTTTAATGTCCTAAAAATTGTCTAATAACGCTAGTAGATTTACTTTATTTTTCATTACATTATATTTTGTAAAAGGCAATATTTAGTCCCTGTTGACTTCTGAAATAAATAAATAAATAAATATAACTATCATATAGGAAACTTCAACTGTATTAAATTGGTACTTTAAAAATTATTATAATTCACAGAAATGTTTATACGTGATCGAATTGTCTATAGACTTTACTCAAAGTCAAAAGCTATATTTGTTCATGAGAAAGTATATGATGTCATACCTCAATTAACAAAAGTGTAATCAAAAATATAAGTAATATATTATTTTCAAGCAACGTAGTTTATTTTAACCGTCGGGATTTTTTTGATAAATTTTCAAACCTAGTTTTACCAATTCACTGTTCCCTGATCAACATACACTTCTATTTGATCGATAAGGCTCTAAATCATATATACGTTGCTTGTGTTATAGTCACACAAGTATGTGTGTCAATTCGAATGTTTGTATTAGATCATTATTGTAAAATAGACGTTTAATAAATGTGTGAAATAGTAAACATGGATCCTTATCAAACAATCAGAGGGCTCGGTTAACCCTACTTCGACATTTATACATAATTGTTTTAGTGCTGATATCACTTGCTTGTATTACTGCGCACGGTTATGAAATCAGCACCAGTTACTGCGAACCCAATTATAGCGTGGGTATCTCCTATAAGGTTTTCATGTTGAAGCCCAGATCAAATTACTGCGAATGACTACGAAGTTTTAGGTTAGATTCGTTGAAAGTAGTTTAGTTTAACAATTATAAATGTCATGATGTAAAGTACGATTCTGGATTGAACGTTATGAATGTCCGAACGTATTAAAACGTCTAGAGCACACGAATTTTCGAATCTGTTTTTCTTATTTTGGCTTACCATCGAATGCGCAGTAATTAGTGTCTGCTCAGTAATTGGGTTATTTAGCCCTATTTTGTATTCGAATCATTCTCTTCCTTTTTTCTGTGGCTCTTTTTCTGTCTTATTTACTTTATTTTTTATTTTCCGTACTTAAAAACTCATGCTTTTTTTATCCCATTTTTACCACTCATCAATTCCTTTAGCTTTCAACACCTTGTTTCATTTTTCTACGTCTTTTTCCTTATTTTTTATAAATTTTCAATGCTGCTTACCGCCACCTTTCCAAGCATACCTTTTTTTGTTGACTACGTATGCTTTTTCGTCCTTTATCAGGTGTAGTTGACAAAATCTGCTTCGTGCAAAAAAAGAAACATCTTTGGAAAATTATCGAATTTAAAGAATATTTATTGCTGACAAACAAAATGTGACTCTCAGTCATTGTAGTTGGTCGCAACCTAAGCGTCTTTTTAAAAATCAACAACATCATTTTAACACGAGTTTTAACATGACAACGCTCGTCCTTTACATTCGAACATATTTTTTTTAATTTTACTACACATACATGACAGCAAAACTTTCACACATCTCACTCCAAAATATATATATGCTCGATTGATCCGGAACATCGGGATTATTCGATTTTATTTTATAATTTATCAAAGATTATCCATCAACTCGTAAGAAAGAGAGATTTTTGCTGCCAAAAAAAAAAAAAAAATTACCCACATAAACCCTCGCCAACCGACACCCATCAACAGTAACCAAACCTACATAACCTCTGTTCTCTGCTTTTTTGTTTCAGCGAGGTGTGCGTGGACGAGGGCCAGCAGCTGTCCCTGGCGCACGGCTGTCAGTTCTACGAGGTGAGCGCAGCCGAGAGCCCAGCCGGAGCAGCCCTGGCTTTCCAAGCTCTGTTGCGGGAGGCCAGATCGGTCCAACTGTTGCGCGCCCTGCCTATTCGCCGCAAACTCGGCGTCCACTCGGTCTCGCGCGTTCTTGGCACCATATTCGGCAAGAACAACGGCAATGGCAACAACAACAACAACAACGGCACCACTAACAACAATAACAACGGGACCGGCAAGGATCGGAAGAAGAGGCCCTCGCTCAGCATATGACGGCTCCTCTGCGCCCTCATCCTCGGCGCCAATTCGGCCGACGAGCCGGGCTGCAGGCAGGACGTCGTCGTACTCAGCAGCCGAGTTTACGCGAATCGCTGACGATGGGTCGGACGATAGAAGCACGTGACTGAGATTTTTGTTTGTTTTTGTTTAACTTTTTTTTTTTTTTTTTTGGGGCAATCATCATGATCATCAATCATTGAACTTGCTGGCTTGTTTAAAACACGCCGAGCTCCAAGACGAGGATAAAAGACTCGGGGCCCTCCGTGTTACTTGGGAGAGGCGCGATGCTTCTTTATCTCCTTCTCGTGATGAGTTCTTGCTGAGCTTCGGGGGAGTCCTGTAAGGGGGCGCTGTTTCGTCCACGATTTTGTACAGCAACCCTAACTTGGGGATTTTTGTAACTTGTCGATTTTTCACTGGACAGAGAAAATCATTTACCGATTTACCAACTGGGCGGTGCTTAGCGATCCGTCGTTTTGATAAACTGATTTCGAGATGATTGAAGTTGCCGTTGTGGGTTACTTGAAGTTGATACTGCAATAAGAGCAACTGCAATCACTAGGGAAACCGTAATGTTTTTCGTTAAAAAAATATGGTACGATATTTAAGATTAATGTTATGCTTTCCGAATGATGGTAAACTCGGTGGAACAAGGGTCTTCGGTGTTTGGCACCCAATTTCGGGATCGTGGTGTAATACAGGTATAATGTCGTTTGGGAGGAACAACGTAAAAACTTGGCTTTGTGTTGAAGATTCTAATAGTTTGGCTGTCTAAAGTATAAGGTGTCAACTCGGTTTTTGTGATGAAGATTAAAAAATTTAATTTTTTTAGGATGAAAAATGCACACATAATTTTTGAAATTAAACTGCAGTCTAGAATTTTTAGATTTAGGTAAGAAATATCTCAATTTTTACAATGAAACGTGCAAAGTAAGCTTTGAAAGTAAAAATGCTCACACGATTTTTAAAGTTAAAAGTACCTTTTTAGATTTTATTATTTCAGCTCATACTATACTTTTGTACTTTTTTCAAACAAAATTATCTCCTTTAAGAAAATTTACGTTATTGTTGAATGAACCTTAATAAAAATGGATGAATTTGTAACTTTTGACAAAAAACCAACTTTTATATATTTCTAGAACTTGTACATAAAACTGAATATGTATAGTTTTTCACCTGCATTTTTATAAAAATTATTATATGAAAAAACAGATTTGTCACCCCCAAAAAGACCAAGACGAAAAAAATTAAGAATATCGGGAAAAAAACTTTTCTACCAGTCAAGTGTCCCCATTTCAGCGATTATTTACAGCCAAGAAGCATTTCTTATTAATGCACTTAATCGAAAGATAAAAGGGGGGGGGCCTTCTCGTGGCATGAAGAAGATAAGTATTAAAACGTACGAAAGCGAGTTAAGCGAAAAATTATTGTAAGAATCCGAAAAAAAAGAAAGTCGAGGCGAAGTGCGCACGGAACGAAGACGATAATTCGTAACGAGAAGGTCGAAAAGCCTTTCGATAAAATAAAGGTGTGCATGTAAGAAAAAAATATATATGTATAATATATGATACACAATATCACGATAACGCTAGCGTGAATGCGTACTCGTGCGATTTTTAACTGTGTGTATGTATTGAAATCACCTGCAGTGACAAACTCTATGGATTCGAAGATTTCATTTTTTAGCGGTCAAAAAATGAGTATCGACTGCCGACGAGTTTTAATTTTCAATTACCATCGTTTTATGTAGCTGAAAATTAAAAAAACAAAAAAAAAAAAAATAAATAAAAGCAAAATAACAGATGAAATAAAAAAATTCTACCTCTCTGGCTTTCAAAATGAACCATTGAATTTTTTTGGGATTCGTCGGCATGGAGCGAATGACAAGTGAAAAGAGCTCGAGATAAGGTAAAAATACGACTTGCCCGCATGTCTTTTAAAAATAAGAGAAAATAATAAGGAAGTTTCAGTACGTCGAAGTTTTATTGAAATTTACCAAAAGTAAAAAAAAAAAAAAAACGATAACTGGCGTAATGTAAAAGTACCAATACAGAAACGGTTTTTAGTAAAAAATTGTTCGTTAACTTATGTAAATTACTATCAACATCCGTTAAAAATTATTTAATGTTTATCTACGTGGCTTATCCTTTTAATTAATTTTCAAAAATTTATTCATTCTTACTTAATCGAGGTTATGTCACTTTTACATATTAAAAATATTTTTACATTTATTGATGCTTAAGTCACCAATAGCCTCACGTGTAAGATCGTTCAGGGTATGATATGCTTTATAAACATTTTAATAATGTATTCTTACTTTTAATATTGCATGCGTAACATTTTTGCGAGATTTTTACGGATACTTTATCACCTACGTGTGGAGAGTGTTGATCCTAGCCCCATTTCTGATTGATCTATTTTCTAACCCAATCGAAAATCCGTTTTATAGATGTACTGATTGAGTTTCAGCTGGGAATTAAATTTTAGTCAATCACATCACATAAAACCTTTGAAAACACATGTTAATATAATTACAAAACGTGATGGTCTTACAGAGAAATACAAGTGTTTTTCAAATGGAATCTGTATGTTTTATCATTTGGAAATCATAAACCTTATAGGTTATGTTTCTAATTCTAAGAATGATCAAGCAGCCGTACACAAATTATCAATATAAATGTAAAAAATGAAAGTTAACCCATTATTTTTATTGGTTTTAATAAATATATACTTTTAATATCGTCAATCAATTTTTATACGAGGAAAACCCCGTAAGTTTATTTCATTTCTTGACTGTTTCACCATTGGGACATGAATCAAAATGCGTTTTGTCATTGGTACTTTTACCTTTTGTACTAAAGGGTTGCGCTACAACGAGACGAAATCCGTGTCTTTTGAAACGATGGTGGTTACCATGACATATTTATATTGTAACGTGAGATCGACTGCATTAGTATTTCATGCGGTGAATTTGGAAAAGAGATTTTGCGTGCACATATTGTGATAATTAAAGTTGAAAAGAAAACTACGAATTAGGTTATGTTGATGTCAATTTGATGGTCGATAAGATGATACCTTTTAGCTCAAGTTTTGTATCATTATGTTCCTAAAAATAACGAAATGTATGTTTGTGAGCAACGAAAAAATGTAATGTGCGAGGAATTCGTAATAATGTGTTCCGAATCCAAGTTGAGAGTTGTATAATGAATAAGAGACGAAAAAAAAAAAAAAAACAGATTATAGTACACATATTTTAAAATGTAATTTTCTGCAGGACGAATGATTTTTGTCATGTTAAGTTTGTCGATGCTTCGTAGCGTTGGAATCTGTACATTGTAATTTTCTTTTTTTTTACCACGCGCACCCACACACCTTCATTTCTCAATTGAGACACATTTACATCTATGCGAACACACACGTGCTCTTTTCCATATTTATATTAATAACTCAATATTACTGCGCTTACTGAAATGTCAATAGGAGGTACCGTGTATACCTCTAGATTTGTACGATATGCCTACACACTGTATAGTGCCTTTTATTCCGCGCTTTTTTTTTTTTTTTTATATTCATAAAAATAACGTATCTGATGACCTTACTACCTTGAGGCCTCAAACATTCCAATTGTATATTTCTGTAAATGAATCTTTCATAGCGTCCGCGAATGCGGCGTGGACATAGCTATATATTTTACGAGATAATTATTATAAATTAGAAAAAATGAAGAAAAAAAATGTATTTTAAGTGCTAGTCACTTGTTATAGTGAAATTTATGTATGAAAAATAAAGTTTTTTTGGTTAAATTGTTGATGTTCTTTTTTTATTTTTTTATTCCACAGTACTTCTTAAATAATTCTGGGACAACAAAATTACGATAAGGGTTGAATTTTTTTTAAAGTTACTTGTATATGGTATAAAAGTTGTGCATTTTCCGGGATACGTATTAAATATTTCTGTGTTCATCTAATGTAAATAATAAAATAATAATTATTACCGTCATAATAAAATTATTGATAGTAATAGTAATATTGCGAAAATAAATGATTTGAAGAAAATAAAAAGTTACACTATTTTGTAATAAATTAGTTTTTAAAAAATGCCTAAAATCTCATGTCAACGCTCATTTCCGCAGAGCGAATGATTATTTTTTGTTTTGTCTTGACCTGTCTATTTTTATCCCTGACTTTAATCGGTGAGTTGAAAATATTTTATTTGTTTGACATAAACACTACCTTTTAAGTAAAATGGTAACTTTACGAAAAATTGTGTGAAATTTCAGTAATTGTTAGGAAACTTTCAAATTGTAACAAAATTAATTTACAATGACGATACAAATGAGTCAAAAAGCTGTTATCTACGTGTAAAAATAAAAAAAAAAAATTGTAAACAAACTGTATCAAATTATATTAGTCCTGTAAATAAACAAGCCTCAGAAGATTAAAATTGATTGGTTAGAAAGTGATTATCATAAAAACAAAATAGCATATTTTAAAATCTTATGTAACTGAAAAAAATCATGATTGAACACTTCTTTGCTAAAAGAAAATGAGTTTTTAAAATTAAAATAATAATCTAATGCGACTGAGCGTTACATCGATAAAGTCGTGTTTAACTTGCTATTTTGTTGGAAAATACTGGTGAGACATTCCAAATAAACTTTTAAAAAGTTCTTTAAACATTTTATTTCTCGAACATTCAATCAAAAGTAAGAGATATTTTACCATATATTAAGAAAAAGTTCCCAACAACCTTTACTCAGATACAAAAAACGATTATGTAACAAAAACATTTAATAATCCTGATTTTTCAATATTAAAACATTTTTTTACCACCTACGGATGCATAGAAAAAAAAATACATTGATGCATTAGAAAATTTATTCCAAGCAATCCTGCGAAAATATGCCGCTCTGCAATAATTTTTTGAGCACGCTTTGACTTACATCTTTTTAATACAGTTCAGTGATTGATTTTTGAAAGTGCGAAGCCGTTTAAAATTACATGAGAGCTTTCTTACGTAAGTTTTTGTTTATATCGCAGTCATCTTTATGTATTTTTTCTCCTTGAAAATAAATGCAGAAATTATAGCTCTCATGAGAGCTCATGTTGCCACGTCCAATTTTAATTTATCGCTTCGTGGATTGAAGAATTACTCCTTAAAAATATTGAAAAGAAAGATCACACTGGTTCCTAATAGTTCAGTCAATCATGTACCTGAATGTCAAATAATTGGTAGTTTGTATAATATATAAATTTGCATACGATGCATACGAAATATAATAAATCATCTAAAATAATGACGTTTGATAAAAAATATTGCGTTCTTTTATAGAATTTTTTTTTCTTTCAATTTTATTATTTAAAACAGTAGTACAAGGATAAAAATTACGTTATACAGCTTTCAATCCGTAGATTGTAACCATTACTGAACAATTTCCTACGTATAAACTTTTTTTTTGTTGATGTTAACTTTTTGAGGATAACAAAATACACATTTTTTTATATACACATTGAGCAGAACGTTTGGTATGTAAAAAACTTGCCAATGACTATATAAATATTTGAAGTTTAATGCATTCAACTCAAAACAAAAATGTACGTATTATTTTAATGTTGCAAACAATTATTCAAGGTATGATTACTACTACAACTGTAATTATTACGATACTCAAGTTAATAACTAAGTTCTAAGGAGGAAGTATAATTTTGTTTGAATAAAAATTATCATCCATTACCATTACAAACTGTGTGATAGAATACATAAAAAAAGTGCAAAATTCTGTATTACTGCTCGCCTTTACCTAAACAACAGTCTACTTACAGTATTAGTTTACAATGGCAGATTCTAAAGAAATGAAAAAAGTTCCATCTCCACCAAATAGGTATTATCACATTCTTTAACCTGAATTAGACTTTGCATTCATTGAAAGATAAATTGTCATTGATTTCCTTTCAACTTCTGAAAATGTAAAGTATTGTGAAAAGTATTAACATTTACTCAGATTAATTGAAAAAATATTTACTCATCTGAATTAGATTATGAGGAACATCATACATTAAAACAAAAAGTTAGTTCATATTTGCTTGGTACAATAGTCTTGTACATCTATATACATTAAATACATGGTATCCTAAATTCAACGACATTCATTCTCTGATTTTAATGATAAACATAAATAATGGATGTCAATGTAGGGATTTGTAAATGGATAGATTTGCACAATAAATTAAACCACTGTCAAAAAACAAACTAGTAAGTAATAAAATTAGTACTTTATTACCAACTAAAGTTACAATTAACAGCCTTAAAAATATTAAATTTTTCACACACTATTACTAAGATACTCTCACAGTCATTCGCAATAAACAATCTCGTTATAAAATGTCACTAGCTTAAAACTTCCTGTTACTCCTCTTTCTGCCTGTGTACTTGGAGTCCCTCTTCACTTCCAATCCTTTCATTAATCTCCTTTCCTTTTTCTTGAAAATCCAAGTCTTGGAGCACTTTCTTAGCTTGTCCTCCTTCTTGTTCTTGTGTCTATGTGCATCGCCATCACCCAGAGCCTTAGGCAATTTCACCATACCCGAAGTCATCAGCACCAGAAAGAACTTCTTGGCTTTCTTGCTGTTGGGATAGTCGACCACAACACCACCCATGAACCCACACCTGGTCGCAGCAGCTGTGATTATACTGATCTGCTGCTCGCTCTGGGGATAGAACTGAAACACAGCCCTAGCCCCTCGGGCGAGACAAGCAAACAGCGATGTGAAAAAAGCATTGAGCCTCTTGTTCAGAGAATGGCTGCTCTTGTCTATGTTGCAGATCCACTGCAGAGCAGATATACTGACAGCACCGTCGAAAGTTCCAGCCTTGAAGGGCACACCCTGTCCCATGTCGGACAGTAGCAGATCACCCGTGACTCGTTCCGTGGCGATTTTCAGCATCGAGGACGATATGTCCACACCAATCCAGTGGTGCTCGTGCTCTTCCAGCACCATGCCACTAAGCCCGGAGCCACAGCCGACGTCCAGCAGCAGGCACGTTTGGTCCTCGGGCAAGCTCAGCAACTCCAGGGCACGCTCGCACATCTGCTCCTGGATCGCCATTATACGCGAGTTGAAGGTGTACTTTTTCGCCTCCTCGTCATTGTAGAAGATTTCTGGCGGGGCTGTGAGCTCCGGCCTCGACATCTTGCCCCTTAAGTTGAAGCTATACGGGCCAAAGTTGGTTGAAAATAGCTTTTAGGTTAAGTCACAGGCACTCGAGTCTTTTGATAGAGTTGATTTGTTTTTCTCTGTTTGCACGCACTTTTAACATAACAGGTAGCAGGATACTTTGGGTGCTTAAGCAAGAGTTGAAAAGGCACTCGTGTACACTTTTTTGGAGTTTGCGGCGAAGATTTAACGCACCATGTCGTGCACGTTGCTGCAACTCGAGAGTTTGTTGTGGTTTGAGAGAAGACGACACGCTGCACGTGCAAATGTGCGTCGACTGCTTGGCGGCGCAAGGCCGTGAAAGAGCGCGAAGTTTTAAAATTCACTTTCTACTCCGTTCCGTTTCGTATCCAATCTTAAAAGATTGATTGTCCCTTTTTATTCGTTGTGTGATTGATTGAGACTGATTACGTGGCAAAAAAAAAAATGTTAACCGTTTAAATCATAATAAGGTACGAAATTAAATAAGTTCACACTGTGGAAATGATACAAAGTGATGATATTTGTCTTGTTTACGCTTTCGAAAAAGATAAGTAGATGAAAAGATTATTGATTGTAAAAATATAAAATTATAAAAGTAGTGACGATGTTTCATATCGCGCGAGCATTAGTGAATATTGTTATTAATGTTTACACTATTTTGATGAGTTTGTCATTTATCGGAGATTTAAGAATTTTATTTTCGCTAGTGTTACAATGCAATGACAACAGTATGTAATCAGAGAGTAATAGTGTATAAAAATAATACAATAGACAACAACTGCGTATCCTCGACGAAAAGCAACTGATTCAATTTTTAAACTGAAAAAAACAAATTAGGTAACTAGTAAAAAAATTTTTTTCCAACAATTCCAACGGTCACAAAAGTACACACATATGTCAACTATTTTATTTGCTTAAAAATTGACATCACGTAATCGTGACTTCGAAATACTTTGATCAACAACGACCGTTGTCGTGCAAATATAATTCTTATACCGCACTATAACGTAAAATAACCGCCAGTGGGAGTAAATCGCGAAATAAAGGAATAACAATTATTCACGGGATCGTGAAAGTGTAAAGCGAGAAAGACGGGGAGAGAGAAACCGTAAACACGCGTAAAAACACTCGAAAGGCAAAAATAAATGAAAGCAGAGCGTAATTCCTCGAGATGAAGAAGAAAGGGAAAAGGAGGAGGGTGAATCATTTGAAAAACTTCACGTTGACTTTCGCGTTCGAGGAGGAAAAAAGAATGGGGTGAGCCTATCGCATCATTATTATAATCCCGCGAGTAGGTATTTCGTTGGGCAATGTCAGTACACTTTGTTCCTGTGCCCGAAAGAATTCGAACTTTTCCGTATCAACGGTCATAATTCAAACTTTTGGAGAAAGCAAAAGAATAAGTACACAGTCATCGCGAAATAATGACGACCGGCTAATTAAGTTTACACGTATACCCAATCGGTTTTGCATAATTCGATCCTACCGCCGTTTTCACTCGAGATCCGCGTTTATTTATTCATCCGCGCGGCGTGCTCTCCCCGGCGGCCGTTTCTTTATTTTCAAACTTCCAAGTGGTACTTGAAAAAAAAAAAAAAAAAAGACAGGACTGTTTATATAAGGCACTCAGGCGTGATATACTCTCGTTCCCGTGATTTTCTTGTTTATTACGGATGGAAATTTAAGAATAAAGGCGCGAGCGTTAAAAACGCTTTCAAGGATAAATAAGTCCGCACGAACGAATGTTGTGGCGGTTATTCAAATTGCCTGATGTATGTAAAGTGGTAATAATAACTTCTTACCCAGATAATACGTATCAATGCATGGGTGTCAGTGACCCTTTCCATATATATCCATCCCATGTGTTTTCAAAGACACGCGTCAAACATACCTTTTCTACCATCTTTGCTTATTCAGACCGTGCAACAGTTTGAAAGAGCGCCACCACTGGCGATAGTTGGAGTCACTGGACCAGAAATAATGCACGGAAGTGACAATTTCTCTTAACTAATTTAATCTTACAAATCTATCAAGTTAGAAGACGTTTACACAAGTAATAATGAATTTTCCGTTATCTAATTCATTGTTTTCTTCCATACGCTATGAGGTTATATATTTTTTGTGATGTTTGTTTTCAGAAAAATGGATAAGGTTATCGCAGATAATGGAAAATTCATTATTACTTGTATAAACGTCTTGTAACTCGATAAATTTGTAAGATTAAATTATTAATGAGAAATCGTCACTTCCGTGCATTATCTCCGTCCCAGTGACTCCGAGTGTCGCCAATGATGGCGCTCTTTTAAACTGTTGCACGATCCTAATATCTTTGTGAAAAAAGTCATGTGCAGCCAAATACACTTGGATTACCATTTAAATAACATAGAAATTTCAAAAATTTATTTATTCGAACCAGAGTATACATTAGATACATAGATACATACAACCAAACCAAGGAAAAAATGTTTGCAAGCAAATCGTAAAAAATGTATTTTTTCACCGTTTTTACAACATTTTTTCATCTGCTTCAGTCATTGAATCGTTTTGAATAGAATTAGAACTATCTACTGGATTTTTAAGGCCTATTGTAAAGCGAAAAAAATTTGAAGATACTTCTACAGAGCAAAAAAAAAAAAATAGAAAAAAGTACTAAACAAAAGATAAAATTATTTTCAAAAACTTGTAGGTCTAAACAATTTTCAGTAGTACACTTTCAACTCTCACTAGCGATAAAATAATTTTTGAGCAGATGAAAAATGGTTACAACGGTCGAAAAATTCTTCCTGAAAAGTAATTCATATTAAATTTTTTGATTAGGATACAATATAGAGCTTGCAGTAGGCACAGGACTAAAAAATAAATTTTTGTAAATAAGGTATAAATATATTCTAATCTATGATTTCTATCTACGTACATATTTATTGTACTTTTACTTACATTAACGAAAAAAAAAAAAAAAAAAAAAAACACGTTCATTTATTTTCCAACAACAATCGCAAGCGTCTCAACGCGGCTATCGACCCCCAAAAAAGCCAACAGGACTCCGAATTTTCACCAGTGGTTGGTTACACACGCGTGCAAGTATCATAACGCGCCAAAACGTGCGAAAAAAGAAAGAGGCACGCGCGCGAGTTCGTTGGCTGCAGGCCGCCTTTATTTTCGACGGCCCGTATCGGAGTAAGCATTTATATATACACCCTTGCGGCTGTAAGTTACACTCGGAGCCTTTGTATTTTTGGAAAGCCCAACGCGTGCGACTTTTTTTTTTTTTTTTTTTTTTTATTGGTGCTTACCTCTGCAAGGAGCGACTATCGGTTTGTGTCGTTGCGATAAAAATGAAGCGCGCGCTTAGTTTTTATCTGCTTTTTTCATCCCTTTTTTCTTTCATTAATAACCTTCGCTGTTAGTACATTGTGTCACTTTTCAAAAAGGCTCTGCGTGCGACGCGATGGTTTTTTATGGTCTATATTGTGAAAGGGTGTATTTTTAAGGGGACTGAAAATACCGACCTCCGAAATGCAATCCACCTTATTTGCAGTGTGCAATAAATTATTTTTTATCACGAATGAAATGAAGCGCATATTTAAATGCAAGAATTTTTATTTAATGGGCATGCCTTGATGTTTCATCTTAAAACTTTTTCAGGCTATAGCCATCACAATAATTTGGATTTTCGTTGATATTTAATATTTTTTTATAAAATATCGAATTTTTGGATGGGATTTTTTAAGTTATTAGGAATATTCCATCTTTTTAAAAGGAACTTTAAATGGATTCTTTTTTGTTTCCTTTTCCTTTTCAAGCGTATTGTGAAAATTGCGTTTTTTAACGTAATTTTTTCAACATCTCATAAATGGCAATGATTACGGTGAACAACCGCATACACTTGGTCGTATAAAAAAATGAGAGACCAGCATCAAACGTCCCCCAAACTCTCTCTTCAATGGACAATACTGAAGATTTTGTATTGTTGCTTACGACAAGTAGTCACTCGTGGATTTCCCAATGTTTAAACTCCCGTTGACTCAGAGAAAGAAAGAGACAAATTAAACTTTTGCCCGCGTGGCCGTACACGAGTTTATTTGACAAAAGAACGGGCGAGAATAATTGTAAAAAAAAAAAAAAAAAAAAAAAAAAAATAACCGATCGTTTATTCAAACGAGCCGTTTCGCATTCGAGAAGGAGACGTCGTGTTTGAAAAGCACGCGGCGCCAGTCTGTTGCCGGACCCATTAGTTCTCGTTATTTTTAATTTTCGCCGACTCCACCCTTGCAATTGATCAGCCCGGACCGGTGTATATACATCTGCGCGAGCGTATACACGCCGAGTTGGACATTTTGTAACGCGCACCGGATTCTCGCTGCGAAATTCGTGACGCAGAAAAATATCTGTTTGTACACGTGCTACGGCATTCGATGTTGAGGAAATGAAAAATATTTTGTTTTGTTTACCAAAAGCACGTTTTTTTCGTTGTTGTGCCTCTCACTGTTTACCAAATGTTGGTTCATGTTGCATAACATCGCGTTATGACTTGTTGTTTGGTCATTTCAACTTTTGATTCATCGGTTTGATCAGAAATGATTGGCATGGGTAAAAGAAGTAATCATTAATTCATTTTTCTTTTATTTTGTCAGTAAAACTTGAAAGCTCGAGTTTGAGAAATTTCGATGTTTTCTGTTGTTGGTATGATGTGACTCAATAAAATTTACTGCCCATTTTTAAACGTAAATATCCTTGCGTCAAAAAGATATTGTTTTCACAAACAATTGATACAACTAGTCCTAGAGTTTTATAATTTATGTCCCTTTCATGGAAAAAAATTCGTTTGAAACATAAGAAATTGTAAGTATAAAAGACTGGGGTAATTATTATTATTTTTTTGGAATAACATGATTTTCTTTTGGTACGATTGAATTTCTCATTGATTCATTTTTATAATTATATAAATTAATTGTTTACGTTCGTACCAAAATATTGGGAAAAATATAAGTCTACAGAGCTGAGACAAACTTGGCCAGGAGGAGAAATTGGCAAGCGACATATAGTAGACAATTAATATTTTTTTTTCCGAAAAACATAAGAGAAAAATGTGATGAGTAAACCCAAAAAAAAAAAAAATGCCTAAATACATGTAAATTAAAAAAAGAACTGTTTTATTTAAGCGATTTTATATAAAATAAGTGTATTTTTGTTCTTGAAAGTTAAAATATTTTTTTTAAGTAAACAAACATTTCA